ACCATGTACGTATTTGAGAGAAATAGCGGCAGCGTTGAGGATGTCAGCATTCCTGAGAATGTTTCCGGATTTAGACAATATCACTTGTTGTCACATGTGGAGCACCTGCTCTGAAATACGTTGCCCATTTTCTGACTCGAAATGGCCAAGGAACATTGACACGCTCGAACAATACAAAAAGGGCGCGGTCGTTTCTATTTGCCTAAAGTTATAGACATCCTGGTCTCCGTTTTTTCGGGGGGAAGACCGCGCGAATAAATACAAAAGGTCCATTCTAAGCCTCATCTTCACTCAGTTTGAACTCTCTGTAGAGCCGGTAAAGTCGTACTAAACGAAGCTTGTTGAGTGGACTCTTGGACGTCTTTAAACCCGAAAAAGTAGGTGTGTGCAAATTGTAGTTCGGATCAAATAGCACTGTGTTATTCGAAGCCTTCGAAGTGCACGGGAAACCCTCGGCTCTTCTTGCAGTGCTAAAATATGCTTCACATGCCGCTATTCGATTCCAATGAGTATTCGCTAGAAGAACGTTTTCTCTTTTATAACATTACCTGAGCAGCGTAGCGCAGTAGAACTCAACGTAAATATTGATAGAAAAAAAAAACATACACTTGTAAATTGGAGATTGTGGGTCGAGAAAACATGTACTTCTTACATTGTACATTGCGCTTACACTCTTAGGAAAAAGTTCAGAGTTCTTATTAATTAAAAGTTAGTAACTGCTTGTCACAAAATGCACTATGCTCTTAGTAACTGCAGTTAGTAACGATCGAATTAGTAACATTACTAGCTAAAGGAGCTAGTAACTTTTACTAACCTGGTAATATGAGCCTAGTATCTTTCACTACCTTTAGATAGTAACTTGCACTAACTCTCACAAGACCCAGTGGCCGTTACTACCTCTAAGCAGTGTCTGTTATTACCCTCATAAAGGGAAGAACCTTCCTTGGCAAAAAGGTATTTCCTCCTTCGTTGATGCACATCATAATAACAAAAGAGTTATTAACGATGCGCGATAGCAAGAGTCGCACTAAAACTCTCGAACCAGGTGGCGCTAGTCAGCGTCAAATTTGAAATTGGCAAGAAAAGTATTTTTTCTTGGATAGATTTTATTTCCACGCTACTTTCATTCAGGTTTGCACACATATTATGAATTTAATCCATGCAAGGAATTAGAACACATAATGCACACACAACACACACGCGACGACACGCTAACACAAAACGAGGGGGTCAGGGACCACCTCGTCTGTGAAAAATTTGACAAATATGGTGCTGCTTTTGCACGATTATTGTTCTCCAGGATTCTTTCTACACATTCCAAGGAGTGTATCTCTTATTAAGAAGTAACGGTACACACAGTAATTGTTTGCGAGAGTCTAATAAACAACGTTGCCATAGGTTCCCAGCAGCCATGTTCTCGCCTCCCCGCGTAGCAGCTGCAGCTATTACTTGTCGCGCGTTTGAGAGATTAAATAGCTATTAGAAAGCTCGTAACGGTCAGGAAAAGGTAGTAACTGCTGCAGTTACTAACGTTTTAATAGCTATCGCGTGTTTAAGGCAGTAAATAGCTAGTAAAAAGGTAGTAAGGACCAGAAAAAGGTAGTAATCGCTGCAGTTACTCACTTTTTACGAGTTTTCTTTTTTCTTCTATCAACGATTTTTGGCTGCTGTATATAAACGCCACCATAACTGACCTTCATTTTAGTTTCCTTTCGTTATGTTAGTTTCGCTTCATCATGCACTATGGTCGCACGTTAAGTTGTTGGCTCTATTGATATCACAGTGTTCTTGTCCCCAAGGCAGCCTTTGTGTGGCAGCCTTTGTGCAGATTTGTCCTTGCCTATTTCGTTGACTGGGCATATCGTGAGAATGCAGAAAGTCAGTTATGGCAGCGCAAATATGGCGCGCAAGAAAAGCGTCTATAGTGAGATAATAATTTGAGTTAAATATTGTGTCCTCGTGTGTTTCTCTTCTAGAATCGAGTACTACCGTGCTGCTCGAAGACATTTTTGTAACCCCTTGAGGAGAACGTTACTTACTGAATATTATCCTTGTGAACCGGTACCCCGGGCTGAAAGAGGCTTTTGTTTGTCTTCGGTTAGACACCAGTCTCCGGAAGGCGTCATCTCGGCGACCTCCTGGTGGATTTTCACATTACCTGGATCTTTGCTGGCCATGGTCCTCATCTGTGCCTACATCAGTCGGTCGCAAGTACTTCCCCAGTAAGAGGCGCTCTCGTCGAATTCCCCGTTCCTGATTAAACAAGCGTCTCACACTGAAATCGTAACGGGGAGCCATTATCTTTATCTACATTAAATTATTCATCATTCCGTTGAAAAGAGTCGTAAAGAAAACCGAAAGATAAGAGTTTTCTCGCCGAAAGAATACCCGTTTTCTTTGCCGTGTCCCGAAAATTTCTTTTGAATAAGAATAAGATATCGCGTAATAAGACGGCAAGAGGGCTCCCTATACGTCTTCTGTTACACGTTCCCTTCCATGTTTCATCGCACTACAGCCACATGATGTTTATGGGGAACAAAAAATAAGAATGCCTCCAAGGTAAATCTTTAAGCCCTAATTATGAATATAGAACAATGAAATTCACGCAGATTGGTAATTGGAACTGAATTCCAGTGGATAAGACTCAACAGTCGATATCATAGAGATTAACAAGTGCTAGATGTCATCGAACCAAGAGCTATGTATCATTAGAGTAATAAAATAGAAGCAGGTATTTGCTCGATATTAATGCTAGAGTTCAGCCCAAGCGAAGATGGAGATTAGAGGTCCTATTCAGTATTTTTCACACTCAACAGTTATGCATCGAGTTATCATCGTGCAAAGCTCTGTTTAAATATTTGCTCATCAAAAAGATTGACGTTCACAAACACGCCATCATAACCTTGATGTAACGTATCTTGCATACAAATTGACGAAGCCAACCTACAGTTTCTCAACGTGCAACTTCACATCTCTAAGGAATCTGGATTCTGTCTCAACACTTTCCCCGGTTAATAAACTCAATGGACGTGCCAAAAGTTTAAGCGTAATGTTTGCTTACGGCGGAACGCATACTCCTCCGCAAAAACAATCCATTTAGCCACTCAGACTCGCGAAAATATTATATTTCTATCGCTACTTTCATTGAAACACTAATTAGTGTAAGTTTCTCCGCAGTGAGCCGGAAACAACGAGCGAAGAACAGTCGACCACCATAAACACTGCTCTCCTCAAACTCGAGGACCTTGGACACTCAACGTGAGTTAAAAAAAGAACAAAAAAAAAAAACACGAAATTTTGGAAGTAACGCTGCCAGGTAATCGCACCAAGCTCCTCATAATAACTGTCGCTGTTCGTGACTCACTGTCATAAAGACTAGCGCTGTTCGTTCTATCCGTTTACGTTTTCAAAGAGCTAGCGCTCGAAGAGTCAGTCATATCCCGTCTGACGAAAAGCTCGACAAATGACAAAACCAAAAGAGTATTAAAAAAAAAAATTGGGGTGGGACAGAGAGCATGACGTGCCATGTGAAATGCCATGCTCAGTGCAATATGGCAGATTTAATCTTATTTGTGTGTGAAAAGAAACGTGTTTCCTGCTTTGTCATTCGCCGAGTTCCCTCCGTTGGCAGCAGTGATTGGTCCTCAGGGAGTTGCACAGGGAAGACGCAGGGGAAATTTTAGAATGCACGTGTATGGGTTGCAAGGTACCGTCTTTCACAAAATGAAAGCCCCACTTGCGCAAGCAGTTTTTTGGGCGGTGATAAGTATGCCATAAGAAAGAATAGTTCAGAAAATCATTTATTTTCTCGGTCAAGCAGAGCCAATCCAGAACACCGACGTAAAACTGTCTCGTCGAAAGGGTCTTTCATATTTTTGGGGACTGTGCGCACGCAGGTGATTTTCAGCTGAAATTAAATCCGGCAAATTTGAAATTATCTACAAGATCCCCCTCCCTCCCCCCAAAACAATTACGAAATATTTTTTTTTCACCGCAAAATTAGGCTACGCATTATCGAACGCTTATTCTCCACCCAAATGTAGACCTAACGGTCTCAACCGAAGTTTCAAAACTAACCGTTATCTCAATCAAAAGTTGATAATGATTTTCTAAACTTTTCAGTTTGAAAACGGGGCTCGTTTTTACCCGTCTTCGATAACCGGTGCCATTCAGCTCCATGTATTACAGAAGGTCGATCGGCGGCCATTTTCTAGTTAAAAATTTCAGAAATTCGTTTATAACTTTTTATGAAGATAACAGTTAGTTCTGAAACTTTGTCGTCTGGTTCGGAGCGTCAGGGCTACGTTTGGGCAAATGATGAGCGTTCTGTAATGCGATACTGCAATTTAAAGAAAAAAAAAATTGTTTTTAGGAATCGGGGGGGGGGGGGGGGGGGGGGGGCTGTACCTAAATTTTGAGAATGAGTAATGTTTGGATCGATAAGTAAGCATGCACTGTTGTAACTCTTTGGGAACAACCGCTGTCATAATCCTAACTCAGAACTTACATTAAAAAAAAAACTAGTCAGGCTTTACTGGAGAGAACAAACAGCGCTATTCTTTATGACAGTGAGTCACGAACAGTGACCGTTATTATGAGGAGCTTGGTGCGAACGCCGACCCTGCCGCATCGCCTGCAAACAGGCCTTCATGATGTTGCCGAAATCTGCGCACAATAGTGCACAAGTGATTTTTCACCGCTAGCTATTCTGAATTTCACACGCTCTGTGACGACGTCCAGTTATCCTTGCACAAAGCAATTTCTTCATATCTGTCACCCCAGCAAGCGAGCGACGCCATGCTGGGTTGACATGGTAGCTCGAAGTCTTATCTTGACGGAAGCCGCCACAAGGTATACTCAAACGCTGCCGTGTGAATGGACCCTTACCTTACTCCGCAAGAGCCTTCAGAACCACATTCGAAGATCGTAAAGATATTCGTTTCATTTTTCTTTTTTTTTTCAGATTGCCTGTATTTACCTGCATTGCGTGCACTTTCATCTTCTGCATACTGTTGGTGCCCGTGGTACTGCTTGGGCTGGAAGCCAGGTAAGTTTCGCGCAGAACCCCCTTCCCATGTTTCGTATGTTTCCTCTATCAGTGATTATCCTACAAACCCCTTCGGGGGAGGTGTATAACCCCCCTCCCCCTTTTTTTTCTGAAGGCACGCCCTTAATTTGCAATGACTCCTCTATTCTAAATGCCCCCCTCCCCCTAACCACTCCCTAAAAATGTAGACCCCCCCCCCCCAATTTCAATTCCTGGGGAAATCCCCGGCCTCTATGATTTCTGAAATCCGTCCTGCAGCCTGGTGTGCTCACCGTGTTCTCAAATATGGTCCCTCGATTACCGACCGATGACGTTGTAAAAATGCCATGTTGCCGCCTGCCGCGATCCTAGCGATGGCACAGCAGGAAAGATGAATACGGCAGATAGCCGCTCTGCTGCAGGCCACACTCCAGCTTGACAGTGCGCAGAAGCTTCAGCAGTCATGAGTTGAAATGTCACGACGACAGCGACACTCGTGTTCGCTTGTACTTATTGCCGGAACTTCTACGGCCAACCGCCAGGATCGCGGCATACGACAAGATGGCATGCCGGCTCGTGTAACGTCATTTGTTGCGACTTACTCTTGATGCATGACCGGTATAAAACGTTAAACACAACAGACGAACATGCGTTAGAGGCGCCGTTAAGCGCGAAACACATATACGACGAAACCGTCCGATCCGACGTCCGACCGCGCAATACGACGGTCGGAGGCGAGGCTTTTCAACGCTCTCCGATGCTACGAAAACCCTCTCCCCCCAAGGTCATTCCGGCAGTCCGCACGTCGGATCGGAAGGTTTCGTCGTACATGTGTCTCGCGATTGCATCGAAGCGAAAGCCCCAGGAAGTCCTCCATTATTGGAGTTGAAGCCTTGGAAGCGTCCTCTTTAAAGGGACACTGACAGGGTATTTATGCTCGCCGAGGTTTTTAGTTGTACGTGACATATGAGAGCTCAACTACCCAGAACAGAATTTGCGGCTCGAAATTCGGTTTCTTTCCGCCCGAAAACCGCCGATCAAGAACTGGCCGGTTCGAGTCTCGCTCACTCTCTTTTTCGCGGTCACGGACCGTTTTCTAAGGTATCGATGCGACCACCAAATTTAATCAAAGTCGTGGGTCACTGAAGGCACACACTCACTATTAAAAATAGAAAAAATTATGAAACCCATTTTTTGTGGCTTTTAAAAAGCTGTAAATACGTTGATTGAAAAAAAAAAGTTCCATAGACAACCGGAAGCATTCTGTGCGTTCGTCGTTTCGCGTATCGTGGGACTCGCGGGGACGGCGATGGCAGCGGACGACGGACGTGGGACCTCTATTTCAGAACTGTCGCTCGCGGTACCGGCGAATTCTGTCTACCGTTAAAAAGAAATTTGGGACTGATCAAAAGAATTGGTATTCGTCCCGTACGACACGCCCGACCACCAAGCCGATTTGCACGAAGACGTCGCCGAGCCGTCGCTCCCTTCTCGTGGCTGAAGACATCGCTCGCGCAAACGTCAAGCACGACGTGTCTACTTCGAGTTGAATATGCACGCGTACGATTTCTTTACTAGGTGCGAATGTCCCCAAAGCGTGGTGCTTCCCGTCTTCGACCCGGGAGTGCCTTTGCTAGAGAAAAATCGACAGCAAACTTTCCAACTTACAGTTTACCGGCTGATTATTACTAAGAAAAGAGATCCACCATAAAGGCGTTGCCCCAGTAGCTCAGCGGGATTCCACTTCCGGACGCGATAGCGAACGGACGTGTCATGCATCGCTCCTCGCCAGCGACGGAGGCCGCTATCGGCCGCGGTGATAACGTTGCCCCCGTTTTGAAGGAGCATCGTCTGCAGCTGCCGACATTGCCCACCGGTGAAGCGGCGAAACTCAGCGTGGTCCTTCACGCTGACCTCGAAGGGACCGTACCGCCTCGAAGACTTCCGGGACCCGTTGAAACAGGTGGGCGTCTTGTCAGACGTGGCGGGTCTGGGAGCCTACCAGATGAGCCACGTCTGGCTGCTCAAGTTGCGGACGCCGGAGGCCAAGGCGAAGCTGCTGCAAGCCGAGAGTCTTCAGGTGAAGGGGAAGACGTGTCTGCCGGTCGACCCCAACCGGAGGGAGCTTCGCGTCAAGCTCCACTGGGTTTCCTTTGACGCGCCTGTGGACTCGATACGGCGAGCCTTCGAGCCTTTCGGGGAGGTGAAGGAGGTTTCCCGAGAGAAGTGGAAGGTCGACGGCTTCGTTGACGTCGACTCCACTACCGTCGTTATGCGCCTGGCCCTCAAGGAGGGCGTTGCCCTCGAGAGCCTCCCGCACCAGCTCCGTGTCAGCGGAGGCAACGTTTTGGTCGTAGTTCCCGGGCGGGCGCCAATATGTCTCCGTTGCCGTCGCACGGGGCATATTCGCCGCGACTGCCGGGCTCCCCGGTGCACGGAGTGTCGCGCCTTTGGACACGAGGCCCGGGACTGCGTCAAGACGTACGCCCGTGCGGCCTCCAGCAAGGTCACTGAGGAGTCCACGGAGCTGCTGATGGATGAGGACGAGGCTGAGCAGGCTGCGTCCCCGGCTACGTCAACGGCGAGCGTAGCAGCCACTCCCGAGGGTGTCGCGGAGCCTTCCGAAGTCGATGCCACGCCGGTTGCTGGAACGGCTGGCCGGGCCGAGTCTCCGGACGTTCCGTCCGTCGAGGCGTCGAGACCTGGGAACACGGCCGCCGGCACGAGCGACGTCACCGCCCCTGACTTGTCAGGGGAATCGCCCATGGAAGACCAGGACTCTTCGGCAAGCGGTGCGGCCTCGAAGCGGACGCGGGACGACGGAAGCGGGGACCCTAACGTGACGAGCCAGGAAGAGCCACCCTCCAAGGCAGCGCCCCTCTGGAGAAGGCGGCTCCAAGTCAAACAGAACATTCCTGTGAAGGACCAGAAAGGGGCGCAACCATCCCCCTAACCTGGAGTGGCCGGTGGCTTTCGGACGTCGAAGTCCGCTCGTTGGAAGGCCAACTTCTCAGAACTTAAGGTAGGCACCATACGGTCTCCCTTTCCCTGAATGGCAATTCGTCTCGAGGCAGCCTTAAGGCCCGTTCACACATTTGCGTTCGGAGCGACCACTATGCTTACGAACGAATACAACCGCTGCGACTTCAACGACAACTGTGCGCGACGTGTACACACACATGCAACCGCATGCAACCATACGAAGCAACAGCCAATGAGAAACGAGCTTCAGCTCTTGCTCCTAGCCAATAGGAAGCGACCCAGCTACGCTTACAAACATGGCGGACGGTTTCGTGCCCGACGCGGGGTAGCGGGGTCCTCACCGGAGCAGCCCGAGGGTTCGGCTACGGCGTACAGTCACGAAGATCTGCTGTGCGCCTACAATAGCTGTGTAAAGGCTGGTTCAGACATCTAAAACGAACCCGTTATCCGCGACTGCGTCCGTTGTGACCAGAGCGACCGGAGCGATCGCTCTGCGCCGCGCGTACACTCCTGCTACCACTGCAACAAGCGCAGCGGGTCGGCAGCACGGCGACCGCCTCTCCGTTGCCGTCAGCTGTTTCAGCGGTGCCTCCAAAAAGAAGGGGACGCGCTGCCACTCACTTGCGTAACATAAAATAGACAGACCGTCTTCTATGACCTCAAGCTTTATTACTCTTTATTTCAGGATACGCTTGCAGGGCAGTGCATTAAAAAAAGAAAAAGATGCAGTACGCCGTCTTGGACGATCACGACTTTAATACACGACTTTGCCAACAGTACAAATCTCGCCACACGCCTTTTTTACGATTATAATACACGATGTAATCTTAGCAACGATATAGCAACGTAGAAATATAATGTGACAGACGATGCGAGCGTTCAGGATTGCTAACACTAATCACCTTTTTCGGGCGATGAAAACGAGTAAAAGATTCGCATCCTTTGTACGGTACGCACCAGTAATACCTTGAACTTGAGCACACGCAAGGAGTGCGCCAAAAAAGAAATCCGGGTGATGTTTGAGGACACAAATGCTAAGAAAGCACCACTGTAGTCGAAGTAAACAAACACGACGGCACGGGCGTTTCTGCTGTCTTGAGAGTGCCGCCACGAGATCGCCGCACAAGTAGGTGGATCTTCCCTTCTAGTACGTGCTGGGTTATCCTAACGACACACGACGAAAATTCACAGTCAAGGATAGCCCTTTTACGGGGAACGATGAGCCTTCACCACACCGTCCTGCCGACGATCACCACCGACGCCATGTTTGCAAATAGAAGGAGCCTGGAACGACCGGCATGCAACGCGCGCGACCGAGCTCCTCGACCTGTGATTGGTCTGTCGCTCCCGTCGTTCCCGAACGTAACGAAAAAGTTCAGCCCGGCTCAACTCCTTGCGTTGCGAACGAACACGAACGAAACGACCGTTTGGCGCTTCGTTGCTATGGTAACTTGTCGCTCCAACCGGTTGCATTCGTTCGTAAGCGTAGTGGTCGCTCCGAACGCAACTGTGTGAACGTGCCTTTACGCGTGGCCACGATTAATGTTCGTGGCCTGTCAGCCAGGCGTAGGCAGTGCCAGTTGAGCCGTTTATTTTCTGAGAACGAGCTTGATATTATTGCCGTTCAAGAAACCAAAATTGAAAGCCAGGAACAGACTGACCGTATGGTGCGAATTTTTCAGAATTATTTTAACGTTTGCGTGTCGCATGCTGTTGGGTTTTCCGCCGGCTGTTGTTTGTTTATTCGGCGGTCAATTGGAGTGGTAGAAACAGCCGTGCATTCTTGTGGTTCCGGGCGATTTGTTTACTGCGATTTTTCTTTTTCTAACGCTGATTGGCGCGTTCTCTGTGTCTACGCGCCGAATCGCGAAGGTGAACGCAAAGTTTTTTTTGAAAGCCTGAGCACGTATCTCGATTGCGAGCGGGTAATTGTTTTTCTTGGTGATTTTAACTGCGTTTGTAGGCCACAAGATCGAGCGAGTCATGCTCCTGTTCGAGACGCGAGTTCCTTTTCTTTGAATGATCTTGTTTCGGGGCAT